AATTATTCCAATATATTGATTAATAACTCTAATACATCTACTATCAGCTGTGTTAAATCTGCAGCAGAGTTAATATTTATTACTTTTCTTTTCTCTGACATTATACATTATTCATTACAAATGTTGTTAGACTAAATACGGGATAGCATTAACTATTTACGAGGAGTTTGTGTGGCAAATATTTGTAAGACTCTGTAGTATGGCCATTCTGGATCCAGAGATGCATTGGAGGTACTGGGCAATTCTGGACCAGTTAGAGAGCTACAGGATAATTGGACAAGTCAGGAACTGGCGAGGAAATGCTCTCAAAATCAAAATCACAGCTTTTCATACTACTTAATTAGTATAATTACGACTCATCAAAAAGTTCAGCTTGCTCAATTTTGCATGTGGTTCTTTCAATCCAATTAGTAGTCTCACAGCCTTCTATAAACCAAAACCTGAACTACTTGTTAAACTGTTTGTATGGTACTATTTCTGGGCAATTATCCATTGATATGGGTATAGATATTCGAACCAACTAATTCATAATGTAAGGATACAAACAAATTAATTTGGGTCTTTTTATACATATTCTTCCACTTGTAACATCATACAAAATTAGGAAATAGATCTAAATTACGCTTTTTGCATTCTAGAATGACTACAAATTGGAACACGAAACCAAACTGTTTAGTCTAAATAGCTTAAATCTCGTAATTTTATACACCTGTTTATGTTTATTAGATTTATTTCAATTATTTCTGACTAACATTACAGTTGAAATCATGCAGTGCATGTGCAGTTCATGTTGCCATATCCAATAGCATAAAACTAGCCCTTACAAAGTGCAACTGTCTTTGCTTTGTTCTAGTGGTTTAGTATTTTGTAAAATACAATCACATTTCAGTTATAATACATTACATATATATATATTATTACAATTTATAAATATTTTTTTAAATTTCAGTTATTTTTCTTAAAACATATAACATTAAATAAAAAATATAGAAAACAATGCTCTCTACTACTTAGGATTGTTACCAAGTTTGTATTTGCTTGCCATATCTTGCTTGCTAAGCTTTGTGAAATTTTACACATGAAATTATTTTAATGGGTTTTATATATGCATTTTGAAAAAAACAAATATATATAAATTACTATGCTAATACCACAGACTTCCACTGTGATTTATTAGGCTTACTTACTAGGCTGGCCCAGCATGGCCATGTGGTTAGGGCGCTTGACTCGCAATCTGAGGGTCACGGGTTCGAATCCCCGTCTCACCAAACATGCTCACCTTCTCAGCCGTAGGGGCGTTATAACATGATGGTCAATCCCACTATTCGTTGGTAAAAGAGTAGCCCAAGAGATGGCGGTGGGTGGTGATGATTAGCTGCCTTCCTTATAGTCTTTCACTGCTAAATTATGGACAGTTAGCGTTTTGCGCGAAATTCAAAACAAACCAAACCAAACTAATTAAGCTGTATTTGGGTCTAAAAAAATATTTTTCGATCGCCATTTGTCTTTTCGCTTGGAAATAAAAAGACGGTTTTTCGCGCCTAAATTCCTTGCAAAGGGTGAGAAAACCACGTGGGGTAAGTTCTGAGTTTCGATTTGTTATTTACGTGTGATAGAGCAAAGTGGGCGTACATAAACTATTTCCAAAAATGGAAGCGGTGGACAGGGCCACTGTGTTTGATTCACTAAATATAGTGATATCTCACTAAATAAAGAAGATAGTAGGTTCTTATTTTATATTATAGTTGTCAATATTGGTAATTTGAATTTTTATTTCGTCCTCTGGAGTACGTTGACGAAGTGAAATATCTTATTTATCACAGAGTGTGATGGTTTGCATGATATTCTTTATAATGCATATTGTTACGACAGCGGACGTCACGTGACGCTGCTGTCGCGCGTGATGAGTTTCTCGAATGATTGGGGAAGTCCGAGTGTTTTGAAGATACCCTCTTCGTTAGTATATAAGCCTGGCAGAGGAAAGCCAGCACGGCAGCGGGATATATAAATGAAGAGAGAACAGTAGTTACTTTGAGTTCCGTATAATTTATGATTCTGTTAGCTTCGAGCTAGTGAACCGTAAAGTGTGTGTCTTGCACTCATACAGAGCGAAGTTATCGAGATTGTGAATCGCTGTGATTTATAGCTTGTATTATAAAAGTTTTTAAGTCTCAAGTGACGAGAAACGTACTGATTGGGGAACTTTCTGTGTACTAAAAGTTTGTATCGAGGAAGAATAAACTGGTTTAAGCAAGAAAGAGCTTGTAACGCTGAAGAACCTCGGAAAGAATTTCTACTAGAACAAACAAACAAGCAGATACGTAACAAATTGGTGACAGAAGTGGGATAGAAAATGAAAAAAAAAGATGGAAACGAAAAGTGACAAATCAAACTACAACTTAGCATATTTGATGGCAGCAATACAAGAACAGCAAAAGAAACAATAAGAACGAGAAAAGAAACAAGAAGCGAGATTACAGCAGTTGTTGAAGGAAAAAGAAAAGAAACAAAAGGAACGAGAAAAGAAACAAGTAGAACAAGAAAGAAACAAGAAGAACGAGAAAAGAAACAAGTAGAACAAGAAAGAAACAAGAAGAACGAGAAAAGAAACAAGTAGAACAAGAAAAGAAACAAGAAGAG